GGTACAGGCAGCCAGGCAAGTAGGCGGGTAGCAGGGGCCAGCGCTGGCCCCCCCTCCCAGCCTGGCTGTGGCATGAAGATGGGGGTGGGAGTGTGTAGTGGGGGAAGCACCTGCTGGGACCCCCACCTGCCAGCTTGTTGGGCACCCCATGGCTGTATGCTGCCCACCTGGTGTTCCCCAACACCCCCAGCCCTGCCCAGTGCACCCCTCCGGTGCCTGCTTCCCCTAATGCCTGCGATTTAGACCAGCCCAGCTGTATCCACGGCAACAGAAGCAGAAGTGTCACTGGCCGCCAGATCACTGAGGGTCCCACAATGTGGCCTGGGCTGTGATTTATCCTGGGCAAGACAGCTTGAGCCCCCTTCCTGGATGCCAAGACAGAGCTGCTGAGAGAGTCCAGGTAAGCAGTCGGCATCTCTTTATCAAGGATTGGGGGCTGGGACTTCTTTTCTGTCTCCCCACACATTTCAGAATCTCCATCACTGCCATGCTCCTTGTCTCTCTCTCTCTGACTCTTTAGTCTCTCTCTTTCTGCTCCATCACAGGGACTACTCGAGCACCCAAGCTTGGAGTCTCCTCATCTTTCTCCATCTTTCCCAGTCCCAAATGTCCCATGAGAAAGGGAACCACCACCTGTTTCCCCACATAGGGTCTGTTTTTATCATTATGGTGGTGTTTAGGCATGAGGCTGTGTTAATTCCTTGTGTACTAGCTATAGAAGGGATGCCTGGGAGCCCGGCTGTGTTCCCCTCACAATGCCTGCAGCTGCTTCCTCTCCCTCTCCCTCCTCCTTCACCCTCCTCCAGGTTCCTTGGCCTGTTTGCAGGATGTGTATGTGTGTTCATGTCCGTGTGAGTGTGTTTGTGTGTATGAGAGAGAGAGAGAGCACCTGTGTAGCAAGCAGGTGGGTACAAATGACAGGGAAGCTGCACCTAGCCCAGACCACCCCCTGCTCCTTTTTTGCCTTTCCTTCTTTCCTTCCCGTATTTCCCCACAGGTAGCACAGACTTTTGCTCATTCACTATGGAAAATATGTGATTCCTATATAGGGGGAGGAAGATGCTGTAGGGATAAAGGAAGGTGAGGTGGGGGTAGGGAGTACTTCCAGGCCCTAGACTGCCTGAAGGCTCTCAGGGGGCAAGGAGCAATCCACATGATGACCTGCAGTGACCAGGCACAACATGGTCATTCCCACATAGTGGGCCTCAGCCTCCATCATATGGCTCTGTCTCTGTTTCAGATACCCATGTTGTGTTTGGGACCTCCAGATCTTATGGCCTTCTGCATGGTGGCCAGCAGTCCCTATATATTGAGGGCAGGAAAACTGGTATATGGAGAACATGGATTCTACCAGGGACACATCCCTCAACTGCTAGCTCTGCAACTTTAGTAGAAGCATGCCACTTACTGAACCTCAGTTTTCCCATCTGTCAAAGATACTGGTAACCCTTCCTTCATGGTGTGTGAAGGGATTAAATGTGTTGGTGCATATAAATAAAGGATATGCATAGAGGTGGCACTGAAGCAATGTCAACCAAGCTCATGGTCAATATCATTGCTGATTGTTCATGATTAATATTGCTATTGATTATTTGGGGGAAGAGCTAATACTTGTCCAGGGTCCCAATAGAGATCTTGGGAAGGCAGCAGGTGGGCAAATGGAAGGATGGGAAGTGGGAGGAGGCAGGAGCTACCTATGTTGTTACTTATCATTTGTAGGGAATGGTAAGTGATAGTTGTAGGCAGAGCCTTCCATCCCCACCCTTTCCTGCACTTTCCCCTGTTTGTGTGCACAAATACACACACAGTCTTGAGCCCCCATGATCCAGCAAAGGCCTGGCTTGCAGCCTGCAGCATCCCTGGCCCTAGTGATGTATGCGTCTCCCTGTTGAGGGGAGACTTGGCAAGAGTTTGGCCTGTGGTCAATGTTTGGCAGGGCCTGGAGATGAGGCTGAAGCTTTTTTGAGATCGCAGGGCTTCTGGTAGAGCTGGGGTGTGGCCCATGCAGCAACCAGACCCATTGGGAACGGATCCCAGGGAGTTGCTCACCTAGAGCCTGGGGTGGGGGGGGAAGTGTGGTCTGCTGGTTGGTTTCTGGGTGTGAGAACACTGAGCAAGAGGTCGGGGGCCAGGGAAGGAGCAAGAGGAGGAGAAAGACTGAGGCCCAGAAGATCTCCTCTGTGGGAGCAGGGAGATCTGGGGTTTTGAAGCATAGGGTAGACTTTTCTGAAAAAGCATTTGGTGTGGAAAGGAGAGAACCCAGCCTGTGTCTGGAGGCATCTGACCTGAGTGTGGGTGTATATGTGCAACTGAAAACATGTGGCTATGTATGTAGTCTGTGTGTGTGTATGTGCATGTCAGTTCGTGGGGACTGTGGGTGTATATGAGTCTCTGTGTGTGAGCAGGCCATGTGACAGCATGTGGGAGTGTGTGGGTGTCTGGGTCAGGCTTGTGTTTGTACAGGGGGCTGGGTATGACTTTGCATGTCTGTCTGGGTGAGGGAATGGGCATGTTTGATTCTGACCTGAGTGTGGGTGTGTTTCTCTGAGCCTATAGGCCTGTTGAATGTCTGATTGTATGTTTGGTTATATGTGTATGAGTGTGTACATGTCTGGTTATATGTCTATGAGTATGTGGATTTCAGAATGCTTAAGTATGCATGTCCAGTTAGGTGGATTCTTAGTTGTATGTACATTCATCTCTGCCCACAAGTCCCTTTGAGTGTGAGTACATCAAAATGGTGTGTTTGTGAGTGTAAAGAAATATATGTGTCTGGCCATGCATGTAGGAGAGGGTGTGTATATGTGTGAACATACTTGTGTGTCATGTGGGTGTGTCTGTAATGTATTTGTGTGAGTATGTCTATGTGTGAATGTCTATGTGGATTCTCTAGCATTTTTAATTTTGTGTATATCTTTGTGTACATGTTTGAGTGCACACTATCTATAGACAAACCTATGATTTCATATATAATTAGGAAATGTAAGCATAGATGGGCACACTAGTATAAAGAGAACTGATTTTGTGAGTATGGGATATTATATGAATAAAAATATACTTTGTGGGTATGCCTGTATATGCACAGTGGACTATGTATATGAGTATGGCTGTGGGGGGTATATACCAGTACATATTATACATATGCAAACACACAAGGCTGTGTGTGTAGATAAGTGGATGCATTTGTATATATGCCTAATTGTGTTTGTGTATACACCATGTATGAGTACATATATAATTGTGATATGCATGAGTAACTACATTTCATAATACTTGGGCATTCGTGTCTCATGTGTTTTGTTTGAATTTCTGAGTATGAGTGTTATGTGAGTATATGTTTGAATATGCTTGTGAATGGTTGTGCATGTATATGTGGGTGTATATGCTAATATGTATGAACACATGACTGCATGCATTTGAGTGAACATATCTATCTATCTATCTATCTATCTATCTATATATATATATATATATGCCTGTATGTTCATGCACATCTAGTTGTGTATGTGAATATGCCTGTGTGTGTGCCTGTCTGAATGTACATGTGTGTGAGTGTACCAGTTTGTACAGTTCTAATTATTTGTATTCGTGTGTTTATATATCTTTGTTCTGGAGCATATACTGCAGAACAATGTAAGTTAATGTATGTACACCACTATAAGAGTGTTTGAGTGTGTATGTATATATGAGGATGTCTTTGCAGGTGTGTTTCTATAGGTGTGGATAAATTCTTCTTGTGTAGATGAATAGTTGTGTGTGCAAAAATATGTAAATATACTTCCATGTGTGCATGTGTGTAAACATACCTTTGTATCTAAGTCTGTCTGTGGGAATGTAGATACAAATGATTCTGCTCTCATTTGTATGGTCTTATTATGGGTGTGTGAATTTACATGGTGTGCATATCTGGCTATGATAGTGTAAGTATATTTTTTGTTTCAATATCTGTTTGCATATGGGAATGAATTAGTGTACAAGTTTATGTGCATATGAATATGCTCATAAGTATATATGCTCACACATAGACTTGCATACAAGTCTATGTGTTAGAATGGCTATATATGTATCATCATCTCATTGATAATCATGCACATATCTGGATATTTATGTTGTGAGCACACCCACACAGGGGTGTGTGTGTGTGTGTGTGTGCATAAATACAATTATGTGGTCATCTGACAATGTGTATCTGATGTTTCTTTGTCATTTCCTTAGGTGTGATACAGAGTTAGCTTGTCCATGGGCATGTGAAAGTATACCTGCATGTATACCTGTATTTTGGGATGAATATATATCATTCATGTACATCATGTTGCATGAATGTATGTCACATATATGCCTGTGTTTAAGAGTAAATGTGTGTGGGCTGGAGTTGTAGCTCAGTGGTAGAGCGCTTGTCTAGCACATGTGAGGCACTGGGTTCAATCCTGAGCACCACATAAAAATAAATAAAATAAAGGTGTCCATTTACAACTAAATTTAAAAAAAAGAATAAATGTGTGAGCTAGTACAGTATGAGTATGCTTTGACGTGTGAGTATGTGTATGGAAGAGTGAAGTTATTTGTGCATGTGCCCATCTGATGGTGCATATGAAGGAAATTTGGCTTGGTCCTATGTAGATAGGACTTATCACTGAGAGGGTGATAAAGAAGGTTCTTATGAATTTATGGGACTCCATGTGCACCTTAGCTTATGCTTATATGCAAGTCTGAGATCAGTGGTGCCCCAATAGACCAGATTTGTTTATAATTGTGAATTGGCAAGCTATGACACTTAAGCCATCCATGACCCCCACTTCTGGGTCTGAGGCTTTTCTTGCCTTGACCATATACTAGGTTTTGTGGGGGTCTCAGGACAAGTCCTCTTATTATTCACACCCCAAAAGTAGGAACCAATCATGACTGATATCCTACTGGGAGAAGGAGGCCTATGAACTCTTTAAAAAAGGATTCCTTGAAACACAAAGATCTCTCTTCCCATCCCTGCTCCATCAAAGGCTCATGGCAGAATGGCATAGTGTCTTGGGTTGGTAAATAGTTTTCATAGCACCCAAATTACACCATCCTGGCAGAAATCTAAATGTGAATGTATATATTTAAGTGAAGATATATCAGTAGAGTACGTGTGTGTGTGTGTGTGTATAGTGTGGGTTGTGTGTATGTAAGGGAGAGTGTTGCTGTTTGTGAGTAAGGTGTACATGTGAGATATTTAGGTGTATTTTGGAGGGAAGGGGTGGGTGTGGGTGTATGTAAATTGGCCTGTTTGAGTGGAGGATGGTGAATGAGAGTTTGGGTTTGGCTGGGTGGAATATGTGTGAGGATGTGTATATTTGAGGGGCATATGAGTATGGGTGTATCTGGATGGTGCAGGAGAGAATAAGGGGTTATCTGGATAGTGTG